TTCAATTCAATTCAATTTGAAAAAATCAAATCAAATTCAAATTGCTTAAATATTTGATTTGATTCGATTTTGAGGAATCCTAATATTTACTATCTTTTTAAGCTACCGGATCTTTCATTTAGATACAGCTATTAGTATTTGATTTTTAGATAAGCTTCAAGCCATTGTTGATTATAGGTCAACAAGAAGAATATAATAATTATTATGGATTGTAACTAGAGTAATAATTCACATTTATGTAAAAAAAAATAATATTAGTATTGAAGAAATTTTAACTTTACCAATGGATGGAAATTTATGTATTAAATCTTGGTATTTTATTATAAATATTTTACCATATGAAAAAGTCATCTCATCAGAATATGAATTGGAAATTATGAATTGCAACGTGATAGTCTAATAGCTTATGCTTTTCTTTTTCCAGCTGCAAGAAAAACAACTATACAACCTCTATAGCTTACTTCCTATCAATTCTTAAAAAATATTCCAATTTAGAAATGAAACTCCAATATTGTGCTTTTATTAATTTGATAAGAAAAGGTCATCATTCATCATTTGATAAAGTTTTAGAGATGCATGGGGTCAGATATATTAAACAAAATATAATTGTAAGTATTATCGATTAAGAAAATTTAAATCTTCAAATTCAGACCATCCAAGAAGAAAGAGAAAGAATTAATACATTATTAAACAAGTTTTTAGATCCATATAATTATAATAGAAAAGATTGTAAGGTAAATAATCGAATTGATTCTTTATGAAAATTAATAGAAGATTTAGTTGAAGTATTTCAAATGGATAATTATTCAGAATATAAACTTTTTAAAAAAAATCCACTTTTATAATTAATCTCAAAAGGACTAAAAAATAAAGGAAATATATTATCAAGTGGTTATTAAAACTGAAAGAATAAATATAAAGGGAAGATGTCATTTAGAAATAATTAAAACTAACATAAAATAATGAAACTACACCCCACTCTACATCTTATAAGGTCTCTAATGTCTTTTAATTAAGCAATAAAAATTCAAACGAACAATCAAACACTCCAAATAATGAAAATCCTACTCCTAAATGTCAAAGAACAGTTATAACTAAGGTTGCTTATTTAAACTCATTTTGGATTTGGCTAAATGTTTAAACCTTTAGTTTTGCTAAATTTTTACTAAGTGTTTGATATAGTTTCGCCATTTTTATAAGCTTTGATATAGTTTTACCTTTTTCTGAATTTCGCAGATTTTTTAATAAGATTTTAATATAATTTAACCAAGTTTTACCTTTACCATTTAGACATCTGTCTAAACTCTTAATTTTACCCAGCAACCTTAGTTACAACAGATGAAGAAAAAGAAATATTAAATGCTCTGTTGCTTAAAAATACAATGTCAACAGAAGAAGAAATTAATAATGTTTTAGAAAGGTTATCATCTGAATGGGATAATCAAATTACACAAGATTTTATCATTAGTAAATTGGTGTAACATGAGTTTGTCCAGTGATTTAAATTTTTTCAGTTTAAATTTCGGTTCAAACCGGTTCATAAAATTATAAAATCGTTTCACAGTCTGGTTTTATATTATCCCCTTGGACCTACATGAAACTGGATGATATAATTTAAAATTGATTTTATTAGCTATTAATTGTTGTACCACTGAAGAATTAATAAATATCTCGAGAATGCAATCTGAGTAACGATAAATTACTTTTTCGCTTGCCGATAAACTAATTTTATAAACTTTTTTTTTACTATGTTTATGTCGCTTATATCATTATATCATATTTCGTGTTACCAATTAAGAGTTTATAAGGAGCATTTTATAAAATTAATCAGAAAAGTACTTCATTTTGACATTAATATAATTAGTATTTCTAAATATGTTAAGAAAGATCATTCATAGAAAGGATAAAAAGACTGGTTTGTAATTCCCTGATTATGTTTAATATATCAACATAATGACTAATTTATCTAGAACTAAAGATGCGAACATCTATAATGAAATTGCTCATCTCAACCTTACCTGAAGACCAAAAACCTGCTTATTTTTATATTTTACTATAAATGAGAAATCTAAGTCTAGCGCCGAGACTGCTCTTTCCGTCTGTGAAAATGACGTAGAAAAACTAGCATACCTTAATAACATCTTAAGTTATACGTTTTTCATTTCTAATCATGTTTTTTGTTTTTTTATATATTCTAATGGTATTATCGTTTTAACTTAACAACGTAGTAATTGAGAATACTTTCACTTTACAGTCAATGGTTTGTAATTTTTAGTGATATATGATATTTTTTTAATGAAATACCAACTATGCTGATATTACTAACCTTCTTACAGATGATAAAATGTCTAGACCTAGCCTGAGGCTGAGGAGGTAAAGTTTAATGATGCAGATCTTGACAAATTTATTCAGAAACTGAATCTCAAGCAACTTAAGCGATTTGAGCCATTAAAAGACAAAGATATAAAGAAATTCTATGGTACATAATAAATCTGTTTTAGTTTGATTTATTATATAAATTATATGTATCTTTATTATCACTTCACAGATTTTGCTGGGCCCGATTTCACTTGGCCTTCTACAAGTAATATCAATGAGTGCTGTGCCATATACGATTATATCACCGATTCTGATCCCCGTTTTCAAGAAGGCCAAGGGGAAGAAATTGCAATCAACAGGCTTGCATACTGTCGCCTTATTGAGTCTGGAAGTCTGGATTCATCTAAAGGAAATTATGTTCATATTGAACATGAAAAATTAGTGGGTTATGGGACCAAGTTATCAGTAAAGAAATATAAAGAGTTAATAAACAAAAATTCTGGTATGTTATACTCTCCGATTGAGCAAGAGGTGGTTAAAATAAGATTCTCCTCCACTGCAAATGTTAATTTAAAGGAATGGCAAGTATGTGTTACTTTTTACATGTGAATATTATATTGGGCATTGTTGGGAACTTTCTTTGCCATCATACTAGGTAAATATGTGAATTCAGAAGAAAATTGATCGTAACGACATTGCGATAATGAAGAATATTGAATGTAATATGAAAAATTAAGAATTTCGTCTTATAATAGATTCAGGGGCAACAGTAACTATTATACCATATTTTATAAGAATGAAGATGAAATACGATTATGGTTGGAATACAACCCCATCCAGCTTAAATGGTTTTGGTTCAGATTTGGATGTTTTAAGGTTTCGATTCCTTAGAAGGTTTCATTAGGCGATGGGGAGTGGATAAAAACTGAAGAGTTATATTGCTAGCAACATAGAATTCCCAACAACACCATTGATTGTGGTTTAGTAGGATTTGATGTATTAAATGCCGTACGCTAAATTAAAATTTCAGGAAGGCTGATCTTTATAACGCAAAATGATGGTATGAACCAATTGTAACAAATTTATAACATCTATTGATAAGAGATCATATTTGAACCGATGAAAAGCAAAGCTTAGGATAAAATTAAAAATTAGAGATTTATGTAGTGTTCATACGAATAAAATGCTTTTTTTTTATATTTGCGAAACTTATTTTTTTATTTGCCAAGAAAAAAATTTCATTAATATATAAATACAAAAGTTCAGGATGTAGCCCACAATACATGACAAAGTTTCTATTCTAAAACCTATTTATCTGTAAGGTTGCTTGATGACCTATGTTTTTTTATTACTCTTTCTTTACTTTGTGAATCAGAATCTGACTTCTGCGCTTCCTCCAATAAACATGCAATATGTTTGAGAATCCTTTCCACCTTAGCTTGCAAATCTTCATAATTTTTTACAACAGTAACTAATTTTGGTAGCTTAAACAATAACTTCTCTCGTTATACGAACATTCCATAAAATTCCATTTTTCCGCATCTGTGATAATTCCAAAAGTCTTTCCTGTAAACACATCCCCTTCTTCCATCTTACTTATGCTTACGGTTTGATAAAGCTGATTCAAGTTGAACAGCATTCTAAGCAATGCCCTTATAAAAATCTTTGTCCTTTAACTCTGTCACACCAACAGTTTTTTCGGATTGGAGTAAATCTATTGCGAAATCAACTGGCCTGTAGCCATTGGGCCCTGTGATGTTTTTTTCTGGACGAAGTTCAAACTTAGATTTATCCCGGCGATAAGATACGAATATACATACTCCGATTTCGATGCCTCATTTAAGACGGAATTTAGTTCAGCTATAAGATGTTTAAGTATTGCCCAGGAAGAATCATTTTCCAGATCTTTATACTCGCAAGTGAAAGGCGGGAATACTGACAATGATGGGTCATTCGATTCACAGAATTCGTAAAGCTAACACACTTTTGGGAAAGACCAATCTGAAAAAACTTTTGAAAGCATTTCTATGAATATGGTAAACTTCTTGTTTTTTGATACAAATATGCAGAGCATCTCATGAAGGTCTTGATCATTATGAGGGAAGTATTTCTCTCCATCATTCATTAAGTTGAGTTTAGCCCCATCATTTTCAAGTGCTGGTGGATGATACATCTTACGTAGGGATGTTAAACGGCCCTGATGAGTGGTATACATCACCTCATGTGACATTTACTCAAGTGATGAATAAGATTAACCAGCCAAAATTAACATAATGTGGGCTGGAGATGGTATATGGGACGTGAGCTAGGAAAATGACCTTCTGAGATTAATTTACCTTTTTTTTTTTTTAAAGTGCAGTAGCTTTGCATGATCTTTATTTAAAGCAAGTAAGTTATAAATAAAATACAAGACAAGAAAAGAAAATACAAAAACTTCTAAGTATTCAAAATAAATAAAATAAATCAAAGTCAACCCTGCACTGTTCTAGACTAATAACCCAATCAAGAGAAAAGAAACTTAACCATCCAGATGTGAGAGCGTGGTTACTACCTGTTCAAAAATTTGCCCAGTCGTTACCATACCTAAAGGAGGAAATAAATGATGAAGGAATAAGTGTAGAAGGAGGTGGGGAGTGAGAAAAACCACTTGTGATCCAATTATTCTTTTTGTGTTGTAAAGTAATGTTGGCTATTTTTTCTGCATTAGTGAAAATTTCGCATCTATTGGCCCAGATTTTTGAAACTGACGTAAAAATGTGATGGTAGATGTGTGAAATAAGTGACATAATAATGAAACTATCATTTGTAATGATTTATATTAAATTAGATAAGTCCAATAGTACTATGCCTTTAATGAGATCTATGAAGTAGAAGTCACTTGGATTGTGATCTGGATCCAAAAAGAGGATGTCATTATCTGATGAATTGTACTTTGTGAGTTAGTTGAATTGTTGTTAAGTAGAGATAAATGGTGATAAATTTCGTGTTTTGTGAATGCTATAATATCGATAATTGTTTCTATTGAGTGTTAGCAAATCCAGATGTGATTAAAATCTTCATAATCAAGTTGACATCTACAACAAGTCCAGTTTTGATTATATAGTGACGGGCTCCTTTTTTTAGAACTTCTAAGGACAAAAGCATTTCTAACATGAATTTAATTTTCTGTTTTTTAGTGAATGAGGCTCAGAAGGATGTAGCATAAAGATGGAGCTGTAATTAATTTTAAAATTTTTAGCTAGTTGCAACTTAAGTTGCAACTCATTGAATTGCAACTATTTATAAATTTTTATATTAAAATAAATTTTGCAAGGAGTTGCAACCAGTTGCAATCCAAGTTGCAACTTACCGAGTTGCAACTTCTTAATTACAGTGCCATCTTTAATGTAGCAGATTTAGCTTCGTTATCATGCAGTACTTGAAAGGTAATATTCCAATTGACACTTAGTAAATAATATTTTGTGATGTGTAGTAAAAGTAAGACGTCATTAAAGCATTTCGCTTGTAGGAAATTTTTGATAAAATGACATGTAGGAAGGAAAACAGGCATGTTATTAAAATATGGGATCGTGGTGGAGTTGAAAGCATTAAAATTGAAGGATAAAGTGGGTCTATTAGATTTTGCCAGCTGATCTACAATATTATTAAAGGGGTCGTCAGCGTGTGCTTTAACTTTGTTCATATGTAAAGTGATGTTTTTAGCATGTAGTAGATCGAAAAAGTATAACCAGAGAGGATAATGATGGAATTTGTAAATGGGGTTGCGTGAGGAGGAAGTGGTAAGGAAGAAATAAAGTTTGTGAAAGATGTTAATAATAGAGAGGAATCAGTGAAAATGCAGATGGTTGAATGCGAAGGAGTAACAAATGTAGTGGATATAATTGCTAATAATTCAGCTAAGAGAGAAGATAGGTTATGTAGATAAAAGGAGAAATGAAATGAAGTCAAGGGCCATTGTGGGTCAGTTTGCAACCAGACTACTCCCATCCGGAGAGATGTGAGACCAAGGTCAATGAGAGAGCCATCTGTATAGAAGGATAAAAAAGTTACGTTAGAAAAGTCAAAAGCTAAGTTAGTAAGTTGCGTCAAAGAATCGTTATCAAAGATATAATTAGATTGAGGAATATCGATGTTTTGTAAAATAGTGAGGAAATTGTTGGTAGGATTAAGTGAATTTAAGGCAAGTTCATGTAACATAAGAGGAGATAAAGGACAAAGACGCCCAATATGGTTTTTGGCTTTTATAAAGATCACTGAACACAAATGCAGTAGATTTTTAAATACAATAATTGTCTCCACAACATTTTTTTGTGTGACTTTGTAGATGGGTCATTAAGAGGGCAACCAAAACAGGGATCTAGAATAATGCGAAATTGTTCATCAATCGTCATAGTATAATGCTGAATATGTATGGTATCCTGCTCAATAAGGAGAATCTTTCCCACTGTTGAGTTGTTTAAGTAAGGAGACCATAGTGTAATATAGGTGACTCCTTTTGAGTCTACTAAAGGAGTAACTTGTTTAACATAACATTGATGCTCTATTTGTAAGGTCAGGTGTATAGTGTGTGTTTTAGAGTTAGCAAGGACGGTTGATTCGATAATGTCAAACCATTTCGGCCATTTTCTGAACTTAAAGGTTCTAATGTTCTGGGAAAGATCACGAAACAAAAGTAAAAAGTTTCCATTTGAAGTCATCAGTTGTGAAAGGAATAACAGTCATATTCGATGAAGGTGATTAGAAAACTTCTGATATTCAAGCGGATTGATTAATTTCAGGATAGGTTTTATACTTCCTTATACAACATTGGTATTTAAGTTATGAGTAGCGAATGAGAGCTTCAATGATCTCATCAATGTTAATATTGTGGATCACCAGTCATTAAAGAGAGCTGGAGAATAAAAGGGCTAAGAATGAAAAGGCGATGATGGTAGCCATCCCTTAATTTGAAGTTATCGGATACAAATCTTGGATGTAATCCCAAGTAATCCAGGATTGTTAATCATCTTTTGTAGGTTCGAAACCTTAGCTTGTAATTGATGATCATATAAATGTGCTAAGTTAAAAGTCTTTGAAGAGTGAAGAATTGCGTTGGGGTACTAATCAATAAATGTAAGACTTTTTTAAATGTTTTACGAAAGGTTCCCATTAGCATGTCACAAAAGTTAGTTGTCAGGTAGGTAGTTTGTGATTTGTAAAGAACCCTTGAGATAATCACCACATTGAATAAAGTTGTGAGATATTTGTCGGTTAATCTTTTTCTTTTCATGATATTGGCGGAGTTAGAAATTTCCTCATGCACTAGTCGACAAATAAATTTCTTGTTCTGAGAGATTGAGACCCAAATTCCTAAATAACGAATAGGAGTTTTGGGATCACTTGGCTGTAACCATATATTATTATTGGTAAGTGTAAAATTAACTCTATTCTGTGTTGAAAGCGACGTTAAAAGAACAGACGTGTCCCAATTAACTTTAATATTATTTAAATGATAGAAGCTATTAGTGATCAACATAATATTATTGAGGTCGTATTTGGATTTACTCAACCATAAAGTATCATTCATATAGGCTAGGCAAGGCACATGAGCATCAAAAATGGATGCAGTAGCTTCTGTGATATTTGTGAATCAATCTGTTTTCAAGGTATAACCTAGATTGGATTGTTGAATCTGTACTAGCAAGGAGTCGTAGTAAATACACCAAAGAATGGGGGAGATTATTTCACCTTGATCAATACCAGCAATTACTTGATAATCATCTGTATTTTCATGAGCTGTGAAGACTTGGTTAAATCGTAATGAGAACAGAGCATGGATGAAATTGCAAAAGGAAGGAGGTAATTTGAGACGCAGAAGGGCTTTTTGAAGTATAGACATATTATCTCTGTCATATACTTTTGACATATCCTAGAAAAGGAACCACAGTTATTCATTGAGTTGGTGATGATGATCGTATATGAGATTATCTAGAATATAGATGGGTTCAAAAGTGGATCAGAAGAGAAGACCTACAAAATTGTTTCCTTTCAAAATATTATGATTGAAAAGAATCTCTAGTAGCCTTTTATTGATAAGCTTTACCAATGCTTTTCTAGGGCATTCTAGTAAGGTAATCGGTCTTGTGCTGTTAAGATTATATTCCCATGGTTTTGGTTTGGTGATAAGGTAAACATAAGCATAATTCCAAGCATCTGGTGTTAGGGATAGATTCAGACAGCCATATATGAAAGTCCAGAAAGCTTTGTTTGTTTGAGGACCAAGATGTTTTAGAAGTTCATTAGAAATCTTCAAAGGGCCACTAGCCTTATCGTTTGGAAGCGTTTTAATAATCTGAGTTCATTCCTTCTCAGACGGATTGTTCATGAGATCCTGGTAAATCGATGGGTCAATATGAGTGAGTGGATCATAAAAGGGTTTCCATTCGTCTAGAATATAAGAATATGCGTTTTGTGGTCATGCAGCATGTTGAAAATATCGTGCAGTTTCTTTTTTAACATCCACTGCTGAGGTGAGCAAACCAAGATTGGCTTGTGAGTTGTCAAGACAATGATCCAAGATGATAGTTTGGCATTTACGATCCAAAATAGAATCTATCATTTTTGATTGGTCAGTTTAAAAGTTGTCACATCTTTATTCAAGAGCTTGCTTTATCATCTTTGTCTTATGCTCATCTTCTTTAATCTTTAAGGCCGTTGATACTAAACCTAGGAGAGAGCTAATTTTAGGCAGGTTTTGGCGAATTAAATTAATGGTGACAGTATTGATCAGATCAAAATGTGTATCAAAAAGGGGTGTGAAGGACCTAATTTTGTTGTAGATGTTGATCCATAAGTCTTTGATTCTGCCAGTATTGATACTCTGTAAGAAAATACGTTCCAGTTTCTGAAGATCAAATAGTTGCCTATAATCTTTTTTAAGTACTGAGGGTCTAAAATCTTTAATATGATCAGAAGATTGTCTGTGAGGGATAGTCAATTCTGAGATTAATTTACCTTTTTTTTTTTTAAAGTGCGGTAGCTTCGCATAATCTTTATTTAAAGTAAGTAAAATATAAATAAAATACAAGACAA